GTAGCGAACGACGTTTCGAAAGTCTTCCGCCTTTCGTCTTCAGGTGCCTGTCCTGTGAAAGTGAGTTTTCTCGGGGTACTCCAGTTTACCTGCACACAAATATTCTATGGCATCTGGATTCAGTGATCCCTGCCTCGGCATAGGATTTATAGAACCTAGCCACCAGGTCACCCAGATCACGATAAGTTTGTATTTGTAAGCTTTGTCTGACGTTCGTCGCCTTACTTCTCTTCTCTCCAATGACGTCATATATCCAGCCTCGACTTTCTCACTGCCTCTGGCACTTCCTGATATTTCTGCAACTTTAACAACTCCAAATTCGTCATAGTGTAGTTTCAAAACAGTTTCCCTACCCGAATCTAACTCTATCATGAATTTAATAGATAATTAAGCGCGAGAAGGGCGAAGGGAACACCTCAGTTTAGGAAAGTTTCTTTCCTTTAAAAACAAAATCCATGCCATGAAGTTTTGTTGTTGTTTTTTCACTTGACCTGCTCCGGGATAAAGAAAAAAAAGACTAGTTTTCTGGTTCGTTAGTTCCTCTGAATGATAAATAAAAGTTAGTTCAAGTAGATAAATAAAATAATTATATTAATAATAAACAATTTCGTGTTAAAATAAATAATAATTTGATGTTAATAAAAATCATAAACCTATTTCTGATGTGTAATGACTTCAATAAAATTTATCAAAATTACTGTTTATAAACTTAATCTACTTCCTACCGAAACTGAACCAGTGGTTCAGTGCTAAGTCTGAGGGTTTATAATGCTAAAAATATGTCTTCGATACTCGTGATGATCACAGCACAGATAGTCCATTGTGTAGCTTTGAGCTTAATAACAAACAGACAAATCACACCTCCATACAATTTTCTTCAAGCAGTTGATGATTTACTATAAATACTGTCTCGTTCAGTTACTAACTTCGTAGTATCCCAGCTTTTTCGATGAATACTTATTGGATAAAAAGGCCTCGTCGGCACTGGACGTAGAGTGGGAAATATTATTACATTCTTTTGACTTCCTATAAAAGCATTTTTTCAATCCTAATGCCTTAAGTAAATTCTGTTATGTTAGATGAAGTAAAATCTGTGATAGTTGTATAAAACTATAAAATATTACAGTAAAACTATTAGTATTTCAGCCATATGTTTTTAGATTTTTGATGAGTCAAATAACCCATGGAAAAAAATACAGTCTGGATAAAAAAAGTAAAACAGTTTACTGATTATGAATTTATTGTTCCAAGAAATTATCTTTTGTGTTGGTTTAAACTACAGTATTTACTTCCTTTAGTAACGTTGAAAGCTCCGACATTCAACTGCCAACTGTAGTTTAATTTAAGGAGTTTAGTAAAAACTTAGGCCTAGGTTTGCACGTGAGCTACTATTTCTCCACAACGTTAAGAGAATGATATTCTGGAAATGTTGGGACTGATGCTAATGCATTAAGTACTTGTTTTTCTCCGGTGGCTCATCCAAAAGTCTACGGGCTTATAACGCTTCAAATCGGGTTTTGATACCTCTGGTGGGCACAGCTCAGATAGATCATTGTTTTGCTTTGCGCTAACAACAAATAAAAGGTACCTGCTACATTTTTCGTGAGCGTTGTCTACCTTCGGTTTGTTGTGGCGTTCCAGTTTATGTATTGTTCTTTCTATGGTACATGAGATCTCAGCTTCAAGATTGTTCAAGATTTCCGTTTTTAATTCCTACAAAAGGAAATAAATCCTCAACTGAGTTTTAAAGGTCGAATATTATAATAACGACATAACTGTAAAGCAGATGTAACTATATTCTAAAGATCTTGTAGTGTTGTCTCGAATAATTTAGACATTGTTATAACTACATTCTATATGAAAACAATCATAAAACTTCAGAAATATTTTTTTTTATTAATTAAGTTAAGCCGTATTTCGCTATTATTAGTGAAATCTTGGTTCGATTAAATAAATTACTTAAGTTAACCTGCAATGCTGAAAACTTGGTTTGATTAAAAAATCTATTTAACTGAGTTAAGTCATAATGGCGAAACCTTGGTTCGATTAAATAAATAATTAAATTAAATTAAGCCTTGATGGTGAAACATTGGTTCGACTTCATAAATTATTTCTGGGGTTCTCTGACAGTTTTTATATAGAATCTAGCTATAACAAATACAGCCATTTCTTGTTAACGTCTTTATTCGAAAGGCATGATAGCAGAAACAGAAGTCTGTCATAACTTAAATGATTTAATAAGTTGCTATGTTGTATAGCACGACAATTTGTTATCATAACTAAACTGGTAATTAAGTCCGGTGATTATTTGATTGTCACAAAATGGCTTGTTATTTAAGTGCAATCTATAGGTCTTATTTACAAAATACGTCACCCATATCACAACTAGTTTAACAGTCACAACAGTTGATTCAATCACGGTGTATAATTAGCGTGAAAACGAGCTCTGGTGTTAAAATACGTCTTACCTGCATGTAATAACGTAGCTCTGAAACCGGGATCTGGACCTTGACGTCATCCATAATATTATCCAAAAAAATCAAGTCTCCTGGAATTCTTTTGATAATATTTAAATCTTCTCTAAACTACACACTACACTTAAAATTATTTCAGTAACGCTCTTTTATACGTCGTATTAATTACAATTTTAATTTGGCATTACTCTCTAAATTCTTTCAGATTCAAAACATTGTAAAAACATAAAAAGACGTTCTTATATCAACTTAATAGTTAAGCTGTAACCTTGAGATAAAGATATTATCAAAAATTCAGATTTCAAGGAGGTGTCCACAATTTATAAAACAGCGGAGATGTAGCCTGCTTAAATTTACTTGGTTTCCTTACAAAACCTTTATTCAAGACTACCATCCAGAGAAAGCGGAAAAAGACTGGGTAAACTCACTCTTAACGATTAGCCACCGAATGACCTCAACCAAGAGGACGTTCGGTACATGTGCACAAATCTAGGTACAGCTGTACTAAGACCTCACTTTCTGTCTTATCGTGACGTAGGGTGGTGATGTTTGAAACGCTAACTGAACTTAAACCACAGGCTCTATAGATTAATATCTAATCTTGTTTTTACATGGGAATATTCTATTTAACTAAATGAAGACAGTCGATTTTTCTTTCTTTAGAAATTTGTGTGCATAACATGATAATTTCATAGTACATGTCTAATACTTTTATGCTCTTTATTTGTATCCCAACGTTATATTTTTGTTGATAGCCTTCATTTATTTTTCATTATTTTAAACTGATAGTAAAAGCATGAAGTTATCAGGCAGTATTTTCTCACGCAAACAAACATGCAATTGAATGCTGATTAATACTTTTGTAAAAACCAATATGAAACTTATTGAGTTAAATTATAATTTAAATACTGTTATATCTATACGTATACACGAAATGTGTAAGTTTAGGCTATTATTTAAATAATGTTATATCTACATGAAATGCGTAAGTATGGGTTATAATTTAAATACTGTTATAACAATAAAACCTTTAAGGATGAATTAAGATTTCTAGACTTCACTAAGCTTAAGCTT